AATAAGAAATTTAAAAAATACTATATTAATTTATATAAGATTTGACCTTAATGAATAAGCTTTTAAAAACTTAGAAGTTGTCACTATGACTTCACTTATGTCTTTCCAATCAAATCTTTATTTTTGGCATCTATTAAATATTTAATTATTATATGCAATGGCTTTAGTAATAAATTATTCTAAAATTTCTATTTTTAGTATTATTAATAATAAATTTTTGATATTATCTTTCAATTTATATCAAAATTGATTGATAAGGATTTTTTTATTCTAATCCACATTCTAGGCTAGGTTTTAGAATTCAGTAGTATATATAGTAGTTAAATGTGATCTTTATCATACAAATATAAGTTTGGTTCCTACTACCTTTTTTCAATCAATTTCTCCAAATGTAGATATAAACACTTCTAAGAATGAATTTACATCACAAATGAATTGTGAATTTTTTTCCATCAAAGGTGCAAACCAAAAAAGAGCATTTTTAAATAAAAATATACTTATGAATTTGACTTGAGTAAATCTATTAGGATATAGAAATAAATGCAACCTTAAATAGAGCTTTATTTATTGTAAAATCTTTAAAACTTTGATCTTGTTCTATCGAATTTTTTAAACATATTTTTTTACTTGTTTCAAAAGTGAATAGATTTACTTTTTTACTGTTTTAAAAGTATTAATTCATTGTTCTAATTCACTTTTGAAATTAAACCAAAAGCAAGAAAAGAATTGATAAGAGTAAAAGAAAAAAAAGGCTTCATTCTTGCCTCTATCTATACTATCTAATTAAAAAAATAATGTAGCAATGCTCTATAGGTCTTTTGATTCAGTTCATAAGACCAAAAATGAAGCTATGTATAATAGAATGGATATGAAATCAATACAAGTACCTTCAAGTTAAAATCTAGAATATATTATTTTTTCAAAAATTATTATAATAATATTAGATTGATACTTTGGAAGGACCATTTGTTAAACAAGATCGAAATCAAACTTCAAGGCAATAAAATGTGCATCTATAACAAAAGTGAGTTTTTTTTGTAGATTAGAAATTGAATTAGAAATGAGACTTTATAAAGATTTAAAATGTATTAGACTTTTATAAATTAGAATTATACAAACTTAATAAGAACTAATCAAAATTTTAAAAACTTATTTCTATAAAAATATTTAAGCAATAAATTAGGTTTATAACTTTTTTACTAAATTTATATTTAATTTTTATTAAATAAATAAATAAATATGTATTTTTTTAAATTTGGATTTTTACGTTTTAACTCAATCTATTGGTTAGATTAAAGATTATTGAATTTCAAGTACAATAGGATATATGTAGTTGGTAATTTGAAAATTATTATAAATATCAATATTTTTGAAAGATCTATAAGCTTGATTGAGATAAAAATTGGTCTATTTGTAAATGACTTGAATTAATATTTTGATACCAAGTTTGAGCAAAAAATAGTAGTGGACCAACAAGACCTTGATATTAGAAGTTTGATATTATAAAGAAAGAAGGAGGTTTTTAAATCTTAAGGCACAAATTTTTATTTGATTCAAATTGTAAGTTGTATCTTATTTATACTTTGTAAAGATTTTTTTCAAAATTTCCTATCTAAAAATCAATAAAATTTTAATTTTAATTAATAATAATATAAAATTTTAATTTATTAAAGTTGATGCTAGAAATTTAGGATTTTTTAACAATTTGATAGAATCTCTTTAGGATTTCTTTAAGACTTAATAGAATTTTTTAAGGATTCTTTTAAGAATTTTGAAGATTTTTCTTTTTAAAAAAAAATAAGAATTTGTTTAAAATTAATTAGAAATTTATAAAAGATTTCTTTTGGTTTTATTGAACATTTGTCAGAAATTTTTGTGATTTTTGAAAGTTATTTGAGATATTTTAATATTGTTTAGATTTGAGATTTAGATTTGATTTAGAATTGGTATTTTTAAAAGAATTAAGAGTTTCAATAGATGTACTTCTAAAGAGCTCGTTTTTTTTTTGAATCATAAAAAGAATTTTAGAATTTAGATAAATATCTGCTACAAAAAATTCTTAGGACATTTCTAAGCATGAATTCATATAAATTTACTTCAATATCATTAAGTAACTTATATTTAATTAAAAAAAAAAGATATATAAAATTTTCATAATATTATTTAAATAAAATATTAATTATTCTTTTTTTAATTATCTTATTAGTTAGAAGAAACAATTTTGATAATTATATTTATATGTATTTATATTTATATTTGAATTTATATATATATATATATATATATATATATATATATATATGTGTGTGTGTGTGTGTGTGTGTGTGTATAGTCGTATGTTTGTTTGTTTGTGTATTGCAATAAATTGTAATTTTGACAAAAATAAACATAATAATAGTATGCTAAATAATCTTTTTAGAATAATTTTAAAAAATCATGAGGGTTTAATTAATAAGTATAATTATTTTTAAGCTAATTTGATAGACTTATTTAAGTAGAATTTTAAAAAATCATTCAAAGTAATAATTAACTATCTTTTTCTTCTTTCTTTATGAAAAAAGCTTTGAAAAGTTTTGAACAAATTTGAAGCAATTTTGATGAAACTGATATTAATCTATAAAGAAAAAAAATTATAGAGAAAAGATTTTGCAAAAGTATAAATACTTCAAAAACATATTATGTGTTGTTTCAAAATTAATTATTAAGAATTTTATAAAACTATATTTATTATTATCTAAAATAAAATAATAATAATTATTTGATTTTAATTAAGTCTTAAGAATAATGTAAAATGTTTATTTTTCTAATGTTAAGTGTTGATACATCAAATAAACTTATTAAAAATTAGTTGTATGTAGAAATAATTTATTTTATTTTATAATTATATTATATTAAAATAAATGTTATATTTTAATTCATTACATCAATTATGTTTAGCATTGCTAGCAACCATATGAAAGATATAGATAATCTACTATAAATTGATAGAAATTAATGAACTTGGTATAAATTACAAATTATAGGGAAGCAAAATAATAGTTAAATAAGCCATGAATGTTTTATGGAGAGTCAAAAATAAATTTTATAATTTTGCCAACAATAAGGAAAAATTTAAGGACAATAACACAGCATCAACGAATGAAAAAAATTATTACAAATATTAATGTAGTTGGACACTTCTAAGTTTATACAAAAACAATGTCTCTTTCTATCTTCCAAACTTGTACACATATTGAAACATAATATATGAACATCTATAATATATATATATATATATATATATAATAATAAAAGAAATAAATAAAAACTTTGATACTAAAGCATTAAAAGGTTTTATTAATTAATAATTATTTCAGAATTACAACTTAACACTTAAAAAATAGCCTTTCTTATATCATTGAATTTTTAATTAAAAACCTAAAGCATAAAGTTTTTTTTAAAAAATAAAAACTTTTAAAGTAATTGCAAAAAATCAAACATTACATATAGTCTATAATTTCTTTCAAATCTTATAATTCTTAGAAATTTTTTATTTAAACTATAAAATTTGGTTAAAGATTAATTGAAACAGAGAATTTTTAAAAACACATCATTAAAAATGATTAATTAATGATTTTTTTAATGTTTTAAAGCTGAAGCATTTATACAAGAAGCTAAGAAAAATATATTTTTAATTTATGCTATGCCATAGAATTTTCAATTAACAAGACTAGTGAAAAATGACCAATTTAACATGAAAAGTTTAATGACGTATTTGGAAAAATAAAATAAAAAAATAAAAAAAATAGATATGATAATAAATAATTTTTGTATGACTATAAAATTATGCTATTAAAAAAATCAAAAATTCTATGTAAACCAATCTATAGCTTATTACAAATTAAATTGATAGTACTATAACAATAAACTAAATTAAAATTGGCTAAGATTTTTATTTATTATTTAAGGCTACCAACAACATTAGTTGATTAATTTATTTTTTAAAAGATATATTTTTTATAATTTTTTTTTATTATCTAACCTATAGACTTTAACCTCAAAATTGCAACTTTCAACTCTAACCTCAACAGTTCTTGTGCTCATAGAAATTGCTAAAAGCATTCATTTATGAGATTGTTGATTTTTTTTTTTTATTGCAGTGGAATTCCTCACTTGAGACTTCTCAGACCATTCTACAGGACTTTAATAATGCACATTACATTGAACTTAATGTAAACCCTCATTTCAAAGAACAAGAAGCTTAGTAGAAGGTTTTGGATCAATTTAAGATTTAGATGGATTAATGATAATACCAGTAAAATTTTCATATTCATTATAATATTTAAAATTTTAAAAAAAAATAAATAAATAAATTTTTGTATATATGTTTTAAGTAAAAACTACTTATCAATACATTTTTAAATTCAATAAGTTGGTAAATTTTAAGATAATTTTTTTTAATTTTATATTTTAAAAGATTATTAAAACATGTTAGATGCTAGAAAAATAGTAAATAATAAAAAAATTAAACAAATCCAAAATTGCAACAAATTTGAAAATATGATATTTGATTAAAAAGGCATTGTTGTTTGATAATTGTGAAAAATAAAATAATATAAGAAAAAATTGAAAAAATATTTTGTGTAAATGTGATAGTTTCAAATTATAATTGAAATATTTAAAAGTAATTTGCACATTTGTATTTATATTTTAATAATAAATTTTGGAACCTAATATTTTTTTTGGGGTTAAAAAATATATTTTCTGATGTAGTAATGATTTTTAAATAAATGTATTTAAAGTATGTTAGGATTAAAACATAAAGTCTTGTAAATTATTCAAATTAGGTACTATCATGGATGGATGGATGGAAGGATGGATGGATGGATGTGGATGCACTGAGATATCGTCCATCCACTGAAGAGTGTGCTCACGAAGTGTAGGAAGGAGGGAGGGTTCGTGGAATTAGCAAGCGGAGGGGCATTCGGGTGTGGGAGGGAGGGAGAAGCACGTGTTGGTAGAGAGGGACCCATCCCCCCCCGTTTCGTGGAATCTGCGGGGGGGTCTCCTCCTCCGAGGCAGCAGGGGGTGATGCTTCCTTCAACAGGCTTCTGTGCCCAGCTGAAGAGAGAGCCCCTCTGGAAAGGCATTTAGGCGTTCCATCTCTACCCCTCTGTCCTCCGTGCTGCACCCACATCCCAGTCAGTATATGTGAGGTCCATTGTCCAGCAATTTTGTTGAGTTCCTTCACGTTGAGAATTGTAGTGACCATCCGTTGCTTCTTGTGGAAGAGATCGTGCTCTTGGAGTTCTTTTGTCTCCGATATTGGATCCGAGATGGCGCAACTGGCGACTTTTGCTGCTGGATGTTTCTGGAGCGTGGAATTGGCGTTTCAGCGCGTTCCTGGTGTTACCAAGGTAAACGTTCTGTTCCTCCGATTGGGGTCTCTCCCCCAAACCCGGCAAGAGAATATTTTTATGGCGTGTCGGTTGTTGTCTCAGAGTGGTTGGTCGAAAGTTTGCGGTGGGTTTTGAGTTTCGGTGGTCTTGTTGGTCATGTTTTTGGTGAAATTTGTGGCAGACATCGGTTGGTTACACTCAGGGGAAAACGGAGAATCCTACATACAGGGACGTCTGCAGCGGGAAGACTGGGCATGTGGAAGCCGTGCAAATGGAGTATGATCCTTCTCAGGTCTCTTACAAGCAGCTCCTCGATGTCTTCTGGAAGAAACATGATCCCACTCAGAAGAACCGCCAGGTTCGTATCCGCCAACTACTCTCTGCTAAAAATCTAACCTTGTTTCCTTCGGTTAAGAATGTGTGAAACGCGACTCTGAATTTCTTTCTATTACCCAGCTCCTCGATAAACCCCTAGATTTTGCGCTTTCGTCCCCGCTCTTGAAGTCGCTATGAAAAACTTGTCCTAAATTTTAACCAAAATGTTTGTTCTCTCCCTCATTTGTGGAGAATTATCTCCTAAATTGAAATAGAGATCGTTTAGGGTTGGGTACTTGGAAGTTCGATATCTTGAAAGAGTGAGGATATTGTTCATAAACGCTTTTAGGATATCACTCTAAAATTATGAAAATGCGGATGTTGTGCGCAGGGTAACGACGTAGGATCACAGTACCGCTCGGGAATCTATTATCACACGGAGGAGCAGAAAGTGGAGGCAATTGCCTCAATGAAGGAGGAAGAAGCTCGGTTGAAGAAGCAAATTGCCACAGAGATTCTTCCCGCAACAACTTATTATCTGGCGGAGGAGTATCATCAGCAGTATCTGGAGAAGGGCGTAAGCGGGCGGAAACAATCAGCTGCCAAGATGTGCAATGACCCCATCCGCTGTTACGGTTAAATGCAATCCGTGTGCATGTATTGTAAGCTCAGGGTTTATTTATGTTTGGGAATGGTTTTGTAGCCAGAGGAATGGTGTCGCACTCTTGGAAGAGGGTTTCGTCATTCTTCCTTTCCCTCGGTTGGGCTGCTACTTAGTCTTTGGAGCTCAGGCACTTGGCACAATGATACTTGTACTTTTATGTTTCTGATCACAATCACTCTGTGAATATTACATTCACTGCCACTTTTGTGTCTGTTTTATTATCATTTCTGTGACCTACCGCGCATCCTCCCCTCTCAAATGTTCATCATTTCTGTTTTCTTATCACCTTGCTTTGAGCATTTGCTATTGCAGTGAAGATTTCAATTTTTTTTTTACAATAGGTGGAGAGTCCATTGTGAAGGTTGATCATCTGCTAAGAACCTTTAGAATTGTAAAATAGGGCTTTTATGAATTTTCTAAAGTAGATGTAGTGTGAGTAAACCCCTTTAACCAACTTCCACTTTGTGGTCTTGCCACATCGTCAGAATTGCTATTTTATTTGACATCACTTCCAAATTATTAACTTTAAGGTGTCTATTTTGTCATAATAGAATTAGTATTTTGCTGAATGAAGTTTCAATATGTTTATTCAATTATTTGGTATATTTTTAACAATTATATTATTTATCAACATAATGTATTTTCTATTTTTTTTATTTAACATTTTTTATAATTCAAAGAATGGATTTCTTTTGAACCAAATAGAAAAAAATTGTATTAGAAAATATATTCTTATATATGCTTGAAAAATATGTATACATTATAATTTGTTGACATTTTGATTTTGTATGTGAGGAACATATGTATTTAGATATATACGTATATATACATATGTATATATGTATATATGTATATATACACTTCAAAAAAAATGAAAAAAAATGTCGTTGGCATAGCATGTATGAAAATGAAGAATTTGACAAATACTTTTTTATGATCTTTATACACCTTTTATCTTTAGCATCTATCTTTTTTTCATTTCTTATATTTTTAGAATAATTATTATAGCATTTAAAGAACATCTGTAATGTTAATGATTGTTTTTTTTATAGTTTCAACTTAGCTTGTACTTTTAGTCTATATTTTTTTGAACTAATTATCAAATTTCTATTTTTATTATGTATATATATATATATATATATATATATATATACATTAAAATACTCTTTACATTTTAATGTGTAGTTGTATATTCTATTTATATCAGCCACTAGTTATTTCTTTGTATTGTTTTGAATCTTTTCAAATACTATTATAAATTTTATAACTTTACATTAAAAAAAAAAATCTATAAATCTTTAAGAAACCACAACTACTGTCTACATACATAGATTTTTTTAAGAATAAATAAATAAATAAATAAATAAAAACATTGAAAAAATAATAATGAAATAAAATTATATTTATGTGTTTAATATTTAGTATTTAATCTAAACTTGGTTTAAGCCAACAGCTTAGGTTTTTGCTAGCATTTATATATATATATATATATATATATATACACACATACACAACCTCCATCTCAAATTTTATAAAGACCTTATAAAATGTATTTCAAGATCTTTCTAAAGATGTTATTTTCAAAATCATTTCTAGATCCAAAAGTTACATTGTTTCAACTTTGTAGCTATAAAGAATGTAAAAAGATTGTCTTCAAAACTAAATTTTTGTTAATCTTTTGTCTTCCAACTTTATTTAATAACAACTTTCTATTCCTAAAATAATTTAATGCCATATCTTACATTCAAAGTTACAGTTTAAAAAAACATATCTTATACTATAGTATAGTCTTATTAATTTATAATTTAGTATATACTATAGTACAGCCTAAGCAATTTATAATTTTAATATTACAAATTTGACATTTCAAACACCACTACAATGTAGTCTATTAATGATCGTAGCTTTTATTACATCCATTGCTTCTCATAGTCCATGTCTTGAAGTGTTTATTATCTCTAAAACAAATTATAAAATATTTTTGTAATGTCCAAAAATAATAATGTGATTTGGACATTAAAAATTAATCAATTGAATTCAATAATTTTATTTGTACATAGATTCTTTTTTTCTTGTTGGATTCATTAACTTACAAGTGCAAATTAAAAAGTAATATCTAATATATGCATGGATTGTAACTCTTTCTATACTTAGAAAAAAAAAAAAAAATTCTAAAAATGTTTAATATATTATATTTATTATTTTAGTATTACTTATATAAAAATATTAAAACTAATAATCACTTACAAACATCCCAATTTAAATTATAATCATGATACTTATTTCTTTTTTGGACTTAAAAGTTAATTATGAAATAAAGTTTTTTATGATTTTATTTATAACCAACCAAATTTTATTTTTAATGATTCAATATAAATAAGATGACAAGATTTTATTCTATGTTAAAATTTAGATTTTTTTAAATACATTTCTAAATAATTTGTATAAATTTTAATATTAATATAAAATAGCTTGCTATTTAATGATTTATTTTACTACAACTATTGATTGTTTTAAAAGCAATCATTTTCTTTCTTCCAGCACTTGCCACTATCACATATTAAATTCATCAATCTCAATTTGTTGGCTTATTTTAAACATGATGTTATGAAATAAAATATCTCAAATTGTTTATGCATTTCACCTGTGATTGTTGAAGGTTTTGCCAGCGTGCTCAAAGATTTCAAAGCTCTAGTAGTTGGTTAAGGGCTTTATTTCAACGTGGTGAAACCAACACTAGTGGTTCATGTCGTGCAAGTGAAACGAGAAAATAGGTCATGGCAGACCCAGCAGGAGGAGAGATGCCAGGTGCTGCTGAAGTCAAGTACAAGTAAGTTTATTCTAAAATGAATTAATAGAATGATCATAATATGTAAAATTCAAATATTTAAAATTAGAAATTTCAAAAGAAATTGATTCACTTGACTAAAATCTTAAATTTTCCAACAAAATACATATATCCTAAGAGATAACCCTCAAATATCACGTACATTTTTTGAATTTTTTCTTTCGTATAGAATACGATGATAAATTATAGAGCGACAATGATTATCTGGCATGAACGTTGGTAAATATCTAACATCCAACAAACCAGCGAACTCGTAGACAAATACCTCTAAAATTTCGCGATATACCGCTACATATATGATTTGTAATTTCCCGGTGTGATGATGATATGCCATCCCCATATTGTCACGGTCCGTTTTATCATGCTTGCATCATATGCGACATTTGTCACTCATAACTTGGTTCTTTGGAGCTTTAGCTGCAGAAGAGAAAAAACACTTCGTAAGAACCGTGTTTAGTTTTAGTAAATAAAGCAAGAAAATCGTATGAAAATATGCTCCTCTATACTGAAATTCCCAGTTCTTATGAACCATCCCTCCGCAAATAATCAACATATGACATCAAAATCCAAGATAAAAGCATCTATTCTGCTCCAAAAAACCGAAGGAATTAGCTATTTGGTCCTATGAATTGCTCGTTTCAACTAGCAAGAAAGCGGTTCAGGGATCAACCTTCGCTTTTGCTGGGGTAGTGATTCGAGTCTTTACATTTTCGGAGGAATTAGAGTATGTTGATAGCTGAGCTTGGTGTTCTTGACTCTGAAATTGTAGCGAGAAAAAGAAATCAAACCAGTTAGTCGTCACCAGATAATTCTTATTCCATCAGCACAAAGAAACCAGCATGCCTAGAATTAGTACCTCTAAGTAGTGCTTGAAGCAGCAGGGTCCAAAAGCTAGTATTTAGCTGGAGTAAATGGTGAAGAGACTGACTATCGGTATATTAGCTTCAAACGCAAAGGATTTTCAACATCTCAACCTTTTAGCCCATATTACAAAATCATGTGAGACGTAACAAATTATAAATCAGCGGATAAAGACCTGTTGCATCTTCTGCTTTTGACACATGCGATTCACCTTGACATACTCCTCAAAGAAAACTACCTAAAGTTCACGCAACGTCAGTAGGGATCTCCAGTCTCCAAGGTTTCTATTTGCACAATAACTACTGGTCTTCAATAGAAGCCTGGCAGCATAAGACCAGAAAAATCATTCTAATTTCACTCACTCTAGTTGTGAAAGTCAATTTTAATTTCGGCCACAACGTGACCTTACACAAATAACCTACACGACGAGAGCTTGAAGATTACCTATGAACAAAATCGCAGCTAGAATCAAATGATTGAATATCAATTCCTTGTCAGCTGGTATTGAACGTTCAGAAACTTACCTTATCCATTAACGACAAATTCACCTTATCACAAGCAACGACATGAACACCAACACAGATGCTCTGATCCTCACAACTTGGACAAAATATGTGCTCGTATACACATCCGTCTTCTCTTATCCACACTCCAACATTTGGAGAAACGTTTATGTTGGCATCATAGGATGAATCCGATCCTCGAGAACTAGATGAGTAGAGTTTCTCTTTGACTGACGCTTGAAGATTATGATATTCCATCAAAAGCATAGGAATGTTAGTTCTATGGTTATCACCACGGTGGATTGTGGCCAGATACGACTTGTTGAAGGTTTCATAAACAACTTTCGCATAGTGACTCAAATGGTGGAAACACCTCCCGCATAGTATGGCAACGTTCAAATCATTTTGGGCTTCGCCGCTACCAGATGCAGTTAATTCAGAATCCACCCTGCCAGAGAAAAAACAAAACCACCGTTGTCACAACCTAAGAGACTATCCTGAGACGACGTAGAAATGTTGCGAACATACAAGGAATGGAAGGGCAACCTTAGATTGATCTCCGTAGACCTTTCGCCATGCTGGAAGCCTTTGTTTACAGCTGACAAAGGGCTACTGCACTGCACCTTCACATTCTTTCCTCCAGCCTCAAAAACTTCCTGCTGTCGGGCGACTTCATGACTACAAGCGTGGATTAAGTCCATCTTTGAGAAACATGGACTCGACTCCACTAGGCACGCAAGGGTCCCCTCTGAGTGACTATCACAGATACATTGCCCATGAGGTCTATCAAATATGCTTTTATCTAATGAACCGGCTGAACCCCCAACTTGAAATCTATAGTGAGATTTGATATCCTCACAAGGCCTACAACCTAATTGAGCAGGGGATCCTTGCGGAAGGGAATGAGACCCCTTGAGCGAGTTGGCAGACATGTCTAAAGATATATCTTCATTTCTGAGATCCATCTTCCGCTTGAGGGAATGCTTGACACTGTTCTGGCCAAGACAATTGAGTGAACTTTCGACAAAAAGATTATCCGCACTAGGTATTTCTTCACAATTGACAAGATCTAAGGCCTTTTCAGATGAAGTCATTGCTGCAGCATCTATCCTAGAAGACTGGATAGGAGTAAGAATTTCAAGCCCGCTCTCGATTCCTAAAGAGTTGCCATGTCCTCTATGCTCCGGATCATTTTCCATAGCCTTGAAAGCAGTATTAATCCGCGATGACATAATTTTATAGTCTCTGCCAACATTGTTGGACACGACGGATGCCAAAACATTTTGTTGAGCTATTTCAGGATCGACGGACTCAATCGTTACAGGAACTTGGATTGTCTGCGCAACTGAATAATTTGAGATTTGCTCTGCAAGAAATTCAGGTGCTTTCCTCCAATCCTCCTTATTTGTCTGCTCATTTGATGTGGGTATTCTGCGTAAAATGCTCAATAGGTTTAGTGATCAATACTGGGTCTTTACGTCTCAAATAGCTGCGACGAAAAAGCAGGATGTGTACCTGATAAACCAGTTAGTAAAATAATAGGATTGCAAACATTCTTGATGGATGTTAAATACTAACTGGCGAAGAAAGGAAAATATTGATAAATAGGTCGAAGACTTAGGCAGAAGTACAGTTCACTATCGAAAATCGCAAAAATTATCAAGAGTACCTGGCATTTGATTCTTCAAACGAAACTTCAATAGAGGGTTTGCGGGCCTTCGTGATGTATCCTCTGAGACTAGGCTGGTTGTCAGGTTTTTTAGTTGATGAGATGATCGAGAGTTTAGCTTTTCGAGATGATACCAGGTCAGATTTAACGGTGGGTACTATGCATAACTCTTGCGTGACGTCAGAAGATGACTGCAAAGAAAAATAAATATTTTGAAACAAATTTGAACAAAAGATCGAAATCATGTGTGTGTGAGTGTAGTTCACTCACAGGCAACTGGGATAGTTAACCCATCAGAGGTTTATAGAAGCTACTAGTGATATGACAGTAAAGATAATCATTAAAGGTCGAGCTGTGATATGTTTTACCTCGAATCCCTTGAAAAATTCCTTTAGTCCATCCAGTGAATCTCTGAAGCTCTCATATTGTCTGATAGAATTTCGTAACCATTTGGACATGTATTGAATATTTCCTGGCCTTTTGAACCGATCATCTGAAAAATGCAAGACATTAATGTTAATGCATAACCGATACCAAAAAAGCCTTTTACTTACAAGTTTCAAAACTATATCCGATGCAGTCAGTCATCACTGATTACAAACCTGGTTGATCGGCACTTTTGCATACATCCAAGCAATAGATAGACCTCAAATGATAACAACAGCGGTGCCAAACCATTAAGGTACTGGTCCTTAGTGTCCAATACCTAAGAGAAGTATAGCACCATAATCGTTACGGTGGCGAATGCAACGTCCTATATAACAACAGAACACAACTTTCAGAGCGCTGTAAGAGCATTAGTATAGCCAAATTGAGGTGTCAATATCCAGGTAACCATGTCACTTTAGGGCCAATTCTTCACAATTTTGATGATTTAATCCTTTCATCTTTTATTTTTTATCTACCAGAAATGCAATCCTGACGCATCTCTTGCAAGGTGGCGAACAGTTATAACATGGAGTCACCTTGCAAAAAAAAAACCTTGCTCACCTACAGCCTGATTCAGAGCACGGAATGTTTGCTGACAGTACCATTCGTCTCCGCTTAGCAGTTTCTTAATCACACGATTTTCCTGATTGTACTGCTTCTTCAGAGTTACTTGAATGTCCTTCCTGTAGATGAATTCATTAAATGCAAGATGATTATTTGATATAGAAAGAACATAAATCAAATGTCAAGCTCAGACTAGGTCCGTAACATATTTTTAAAGATGAAAGGATCAAGTTGTATCTTACACATTCGGGAAAGGGATGCCGACTACTACCTGAGACAAAGCGTTAAGGGGAAAAAGCAGAATATTCAAAGCTTTTTAATGTCATCCTAAAGATTATTGCAAGCCTCGTAACTATTATGCATTAAAGAACTAGCAGCATACAAATCCTGGATCCATAAAGAACAAACATGGGTATGGAAGAATACTTGGTATGCCAAGTGTACTCAATACAATCAAAACCAATGACCAATAAAAACAAAGCTGACAAGCACATAATACTTACTAACAATCAACCTTACGACAAAGGATACAACAATGCGAGCATTCCTGTCGGAGAAATCAATGCCCTCTGAGACCTGCACTACATTCAAGGAGTTAACACACTTATACATCACTTTCAAACAAGTTTGCTGATTTAAACATTACCCACGTCCCTGGTCAGCGACTGTTGAAGTAAAATTTATTTAGAAGAATTTTGGGAGAGTAGGTTTATTCTAACGTTACTAGAATATAATTTCTCGACTCTCTAAGACGGGCGGTGACCACCGATTCCTAAACAGACTGACAGTTAGTAAAAAGCTACAGGAAAAAAATGCAGAAAAATGCCTTCTAACCTTTCCCCGGCACACAGCCAAAAATGCCGCACCACCCGCTTTCCTGCCTGTGCTCCGTGGCGTGCCCCGGGTTTTCACATCTCGGTTTTTCTCAACACCTACTTTTCTGTTCCTACCAGGTGTCCTATCTGAGTTGATAGAGTTATAAAAATCTTGTAAAATCAACTCAAATTGGTCGTTGTTTCCACGAGGTTCTGGCAAAGACATTGTGAGAACAAAATTCATTGGCGTCATGTTACACCCAAAACCCTCCAGTCTCTTCTACCGCACGTATGTTTTCACCCAAGATCCACACAACCTACAGATAGAAAAGCTTTCTTTTTTGCACATGAAAACATTGAAGACATAAACAAGGGGACAAAATATTACCTAAAAAGAGCTCCTTCACGCTGGAGAGACGACCCCACTGCCCAGTACTCTTCCAGCGAGCACATAGTTTGTCCAGGAACTTGTAGCTTGGGAAAAATGTAAGAGCTCCATCTGGCACCACCTTGAATACCTCCTCTAACACTACCCCAAGAGCATCCTGCCAATGGCATAAACAAACAAGCAAACAAACAGTGAACAGAAGAATTCGACGTCAAGCACAGAAAAACCTAACAGAGTGCCTCGACAAGTGATCAAAATTAACACCAGGTATCACAGTACCTGAAAAGAATAGCCATCGGCATTTTTATAACTGGCATTCAATGATACGTTGTCTGGTCCGGTGGAAACAGCAGCAGCCCAAACCTGATAACGAGAAAATCGTGAGCACATCGCTGCTTGCGGGAAAATTATCAACTTCACTACCCTTAGAATGCACATGCAACAAATCGTGGCATATGGTTCTAAAAGTAACACCTGCTTTTCCATGTCAACAACATGCGGTGCCTCCATTTGAAATTCGAATGGAATGCCGAGCTCAGATGCAAAAGAGTCCATAGGCGACAAAGTCCTGCCAGCATTTTGTGAAGACACGCCTACTCAACATCAAGTCACTATAGTAACAGTAACAACATTTAATCCCATTTTGGGTCAAACTCCTCAGTGCACAACTGCAGCGTCTAAAACCAGATATCATTAACCATCATCGTCATCGTTAAAGTAGAAGGGATTACCCCGAAGTAAGAATAATAGACCGAGTTACACTCGCGATGTCCTCAAAAACCACGCCGGGGTTTAAGCACCAAAGACTGACAGTTGTAACCCATCCTGTCACTGCCAAACCTGCAGAAAATTATGTCCGTCGAAATTCAGCAATCAATCAAATTTCGTCAGAAACGTTGGCCCAATGAAATGAAGTAAAACCAAATGAGACAATTCTTTAACCTTCATCGCGTTTGACAAATCTTCTCACAACCAACTGGTAATCTCCAGCACGACGTCCATTTTCTTGCAGCATGAACTTGAGAGCAGAAAATAATCCTGCAAATTACGGTTGATTAGCTGTGGTAAAAATATTAGGCCTCCGAAATAAGGGCATAATATTCAATTGGTTAAATATCAGTATATTCAAATCTTTGATCAGCTGGGACAAAAGGGGAAAGCATATGTCCATGGAGAGACACAATTAGCAGCAGTAAGTAGATACCTTCTATTGCAATCGTAGCACGCCCACTCAAATGATTCACTGTTTCGTCTGGATTAGAAGCAGCTCCTATTGCCTGACAAATCAGATCATCACATGAGTGAGATACAATTTAAAATCAAGGTTCGAGAAATTGCCATATACTTCCTTATCTCATTCATCACGTTTTAAATCATGATCACACATGGCATTAGATCAGAGTGACACTTATAAAGTCGTCGTACATAATTTCATGCGAGTGCTTTCATTCCGCTTATCAGAGCTCCAAGGATGTTCAAGAAAACTACCATGCCGTTATTTATTACATTCATGTACCAAAATCTGCTCGAGGATTGCACATGAAATATTCTAGGAGTAACATACACTCGAGTAATGAATTTCCAATACCAACCCTTCAGCAGGCATTGTAGCTCAAGCATCATGACAAAAAAGTATTCTAAGTAAGGTCCAGGTGCAAGGAGTCAACCTTCTTCGAGCATTCAAGAAGGACTTGAAATGTTTCCAGGCACGTCCCTGCCAATCGTAGCTCCTGTATTGCTTTAGAACCTCTCCAGCTGTAAGAATACAAGGTAGCTTAAATAATCAGCTTTGAGAAGACCCAGTCGACAAACTTCAGAACGTAAAATCAAAATAAAAAATTTCAAACTTGGTCGCTCTCGACCAATGGACAATCATCCTGAAAATACATAACCGTCAAAAATGCAAAAAACCTGAACCTAGGACCACAACTACAAATCGTAGTTACACACTGAGAACGTAGAAAATGCTAATTCCTGGTCTTACTTGGTAGCGAAAAAGAAAGAAAGATAAAAAGAACAGAAAAAAAAGTATGAACTAAAAAATCGTTTAATAAGAAAATTAATTGGACCAAAAATGGTAACCTTGATGCATAATGCTCAAAGTCCAACTTCGAAAGGCACTTTTCTTGGTGATATATCCAATCTAGCCATGCCTGCAATTGGCGTTCGCATAAGAACCATATCACTTCACAAAGTAAAGCTGAGAAGAAGATAGATTGTGAAGAGAGCACCCTTCGGGTTCACGAACACCTACAGACGTACGGAGTAGATACTTCAATTCCATGCACCGAAAACCATTGAGAACCTAAATACCTACCTGCACCATTTCTAAAAGTGGGGAGTAAATGTCAGATGTTTCGTCTGATGTAGCGAGCTGCTCTAACTCCAACCGGAGATCTGCAGTACACAACTAGATTTGTATCACGAATTCACAGGAATATCTCGGAAATTACCAGGTATAAGTGAAGACACCTTCCAAAATATGTCATACCTTGCAGCAGACTAGTTTCCAGGTCTATGCTTCCTGCCTCGCGAGCCACATCCTCAATGTTACTGCAACCAATTTAAAGGATTGGTCCTGTAAGCTACAAAGGGGCACGTCGCAGTGTAAAACACAAACAAATTCAAAAGCACGAAGTTGGTATAAAACATCATTATCTATATATATATATATAACGAGAGAGAGAGAGAGAGAGAGAGAGCTAAATGAGATCCCTACATACAGAAAGTTTCTTGAAATTGCATCCGAGTGGAAGAAACTTAAGACAAGTCATTGGATAAGCGGCCTTACTGAGCTTCGTCCAGCACAACAATGGCTCCTTGTAGGTTAACTTCCATTGCACTCCTGATGATAGGGTCAAGTATATAGTTATATGGACAAAAGACTATGTCTGCCTCAGTAGCTAATGCTCTGGCTGCAAAGTATGCACAGCCTGCACTGCAGTCAAACACCCAAAACCGGCTTCAAGAGAGTGCATTAATCAAACTTCTTAAACTTTGACTTTAAGAGAAGATGAAATGAGGAAGATTGAAATAAACTGACATCTTAGCTTTTCAAACTTGCAAATGTTCAGAACGCATCAAAGGAGAGCTTTTGAATACCTGTCTCCAGAAATAGATTCAATCAAAAGCTATCCCTAAAAAGTTATGGAATGCGATTTGTAATTTAGACTTAGCTACTGGCACTTAAAGAAAGAAATGATAAAATCGCACCTTTCACCTTGTGACCAAGCTCTACAAGGTCCTCAATATCATGAATATTATTTGCGCCTCCCTTTTGCAGTGATGGATGTGATTTCAGCTTCATGACATTTCTGTAGCAAAATGCAGTAATCAGATAAATCCATGCACTCAACATTGTGAATAGGCAAGGCTTTCTACAAAGCCCTCTTTCAAGAAAGTTCTCGTCACCTCACAGCAAATGAATTTAAAAAATTAGAACGGAGCTTGATAACGCGGGCTTGAGACCTTCATAACTCGGGCAAAACATTATGAATTGAGAGACAGTTGCAGCATATCAAGACATGACACTTACTTGAAATGAGGACAGCTACGCTCCTCGTCTTTCATAAGCAGCTTACTGTAGCATAGTCAGGTGAGTCAGAGCACTCTAACAGCAACATCACATGTAAGTCTGGCAAGCAGTTGTTAAAAAATAGAACCACGCACCAGTCCTCATCGACATTGTTCTTGCGTACGACACTTTTGTTCGTGCAGTAATGTTTCCTTGCACCCTGTAGAAAGTGAGCACGTCCAAGCCAGAGTACATCTGATTAAGCAAATAAGAGGTTCGTTTCCTCAAAACTATAATAATTCGTCTACAGGAAGCAATGCAAAATCGAAAATTCTCCACACCAAAAGGTCGATACTAAGCTTTTAAAAAATGGACTCACTAGAACCGCCATGGATACGTGATACTTGGTCTTCCGAAGTTCACGAATCACTTGAGTGATTTGAGTGTGAGTCCTCCTGCAAATTATGAGAGGCACGTCTCAATGACAAACCATGACATGCAAGAACCGTGTGGAAAATAAGTCTCACCAATACAATAATGCTCTTAATTATCAATCTATTTTCAATAGGCAGACACAGCAAGCATGACGAATCACAACAATTTGCCTATTGAGCTGGATCCTTGGAACACTTACGAAGCATAGTAAATCATCGGGACTTTTCGATTCTTGGATTTCTGAGTGTTGGACCTTCCTGCAATCGGGGCTTTAACAGCAGGAGTGTCTTCTCCCCCAAGCTGACGTCCTTCAGATACGCAGTGACGCACCAGTTGACAACCAATGACGGGCATTGTAAGTTTGGAATGAGAAGGGATAATGGTTAAGTTCAGCGGTAGAGTATGGAGCGAGAACTGGAAAGAGAATTAGGTATTGGGAAAATGCAGTTACAACGGGAGAGGAGAGGATAGCGTACCAGAGAGAGGTTCGTCAACAATGAAGCCACCGCCGGCAAGCAGGGGATCAGCAGGAGCGGAAGGAAGAAGAGGCAAGGCGGGGAATTGTTTCTGCCACGCCAGAGTGGCACACAGAAGAGCGAGCGTCTTGCCAGAGCCGGTGGGAGACTCCAGAAGTGCATTGACACTGCAAGAGCGATGCGAGTGGCGAGATTGCTCGAGAGCAGCAAGGACCTTGCCCATGAAGGCCAACTGCGTGCCATAGGGCTTGTAAGGGAAGTCGACAGGAATGCCGCAGATGCGAAGGGAGGGGTGGGGCAACGACATCAGGAGCGATCAGTCAAGAGGGAAGGCGGGAGCAGGGGCGGAGGCAGGCAGGCACCTGCGAAGGAAGGCATGGCGCAGGCACACAGCGAAGGAAGCTAGGGCCGTGGCGGGAGGGGAATGAGGGGGAATCAAGGACGGGGTGGGTATCAGGGACGGGAACCAGTGTCCACTGTTCCACTCCTTGACGGACGGACTGACAGACAGACAGGAGCTTCTCACAGCCCAGCCCGTCTCCCCTCTCCCCCTCCCCCTCTCCTCTCCTCCTCAACATCCCCTCACTGCTGCGACTCCTTCCCTTCATCCGCATTCTCAGATAATAGCTTCTACAGTTTAAAACAACTGTTTGCTTCACCAGTTTATTAGGACTCGAACATGCTCCTGCATGGGTTCTTCAACCCTGTACACTTTCACTGAAGCTTGTTTACAATGGTGATGGTGATGCTAATAAATCACTTGCCAAACAATGTTACTGGAAGTTTGAGTGCATTCTACTCATTCAAGTCAGGAATGCGGTATGTTGGAATAAAAAAACAGTTTCATATATATATACACATATATATATATATAATTCTCTATGATACATTTCAAATTTTTGTCAATAATATTGTGTAATGTTGCTATCTTTTATTATACTAAAAAAATTGATAACTTGCACTCACATAAATACATTCTAATATATCCAAAGTTTTCATACTATTAATTTAATATATTCAAAGATTAATATGCTACATCAAAATATTTAATCTATTAACATGTCATATTGCTAGTTAGAATTAGAGATTAGATTGTATTTGATCTAAATTCTATCTAATAATAATTTTAGTTTAATGGAATCAACATACAAGATAAATAAAATCTCAACAAATCTATCACCTTTACTCATTAATTTGAAATATATATATATATATATATATATATATGCTTAATAAGGAGTTAGAAGTGCATTGTTAATGGAGCAAGTAGATGGGGACTAGGCACAAGATTAAGTGAGGGATGAAGAGAAGCAACAAGAGTTTCTGAATTGTTCAAGTAGCAAAAGTTTATATAGGTTGGCATCTATGTAGACATTATACATAATAAGTTTATATAGGTTGGCATCTATGTAGACATTATACATAATAAGTTTATAATTTAAAAATAAAACAATGAAAGTTTATGGTTATAGTTGTAATTCTATATTTTACTAAATTTGAGTGACTTTGTGAATATCAAGATCATGGATAAGTTTACCAACAAACTTGCACAATTTGTTGCACAAGTTATCAACTCTACACATTCTATATATAACCAACATTGACCTCTATTTAATATAACGTTCTGCTATTCTGAATATATAATAATTCATCATTATTTTATAACATGGGTATTAAATTATAATTCTAATATAATTTTGAATACTTTTCTTACTTAATTCTAAATACATTCCATTCTTTCAAAACACAAATAATAGGATGAAGATGTAAAATCATGTTATGAAAATTCTACAAAAGTCATAACATGGGCATGCAAATGAAATGTTTCAAATTAAATAAAGATGAATTTAAAATCAAATATTACAGCGCTATATTTGTAAGACAATATAATACAAACTAGATATCTTTAAATAATCTTTAGATTTCAATATTTATTAGATGAATTCTAAAATTTAAAACAACTAAAATATGCACCACTCATTTTAATATTACAAGAGATTCATATTCTGGACAAAAAATTATACAAAAAATAACTCCAGATATTTTAGAAGATAATGAGTGATGCATATTATGTTATTTTATATAAAAATAGAATATCAATTAAAAAATGGATTTATCTGACAACAGTTGAAGTAATGTTTTATGGATGAGTAAGAACATGTAAGAATGGAGTAGGATTGTGGGTATGTGTGTACCTTTGAAATGTGTATGGTGCGTAAGTATATAAGCATGACACAGCAATTGTAAAGCACTGTTAGCAAGGAGACCAAGAATTCTTGCAAGATGAGAATTAGGGCAAACTAGAGAGCAGCGCCACAGATGCGGAAGAGAAGAGACAAGGCAAGGTCAGGAAAGTGCTTGGGGGCTTCCCTCCCTTCCTTCCTTCCTTCCTCCGTCTTCTCTTCGCCGTCGCCGTCGTCGTCGTCGTCTTCTTCGTCTCTCCTCGGCCTTCATGAGCTGCCTTGACCCCCTCTGTGGATGAGAGAGAGAGTAAGGGTGAGGGCGAGCCGGTCTGCCGCCTTTGTTGCTCTCTCTGCTTCTGCTCCTGCTCCTGCCCGTCTGCCTGCAAGTTAAGAGGGTGAAGCAGGAGGAGAAGAAGCCAGAGAATTCGTTGGTGTCTCTGTCGGTCTTATTCTTCTCTTTCTCTCTCTCTCTCTCTCTCTCTATATCTATATATTAACACACATACATACTCCTTCCTTGCATTGCTCTGCTCCGCTTGTCCTCGTCATGGCCCACTATCCTGCCGGTTCTAGGCTCAGGCTTTGGCTGAGACTCGATCTCACCCGCTGCCAGCGCCGCCACCAATCTCGATCCCTTTGTGTCGATGCTCGTGTTCCCTCCCCTTCCTCTTCCTCCAATTTGCTCCCTGGTGCCACTCTTGCCACCTTACTCATGCTGGGCACTTTGCATGCTCGCCGTCTTTACGAGGATTCTAAACTTCAACAGCAGCGCGTTCAAGGTGCGGAGATTGAGTTTGCCGCAGACTGGAAAGCTACATTTTTGCAGGTTTGCATTCCCCTACCACTTGGATCACTATTTCTATGCACGATTTTACATGGGTGTGTTTACCAACCTATTGTGTGGACGGTGGTGGCGCATCAATAAAAGATTCTCATTCCAGTGCTGTAGCTGCCAAAGGCAGCCATGTGGCTCCGGTAATGTGTTTTTAGTTGAGTTCAACTTTGGAATTAGTGATTTACAAGTTGACCATGTTTTGTTTGCATCTGTTAGTCGGCGTTAGGTCTACTTCTTCGAGTATTCTGAGCCTGACATGTGCATATTATTGGTGCAGTTTTTGCCACTTCGCTTCATTTCTAGGAGATGGGGTGAGTTCACATCAGTGGAATTGCCGCTTTGGTTACGACCGTATGTCTATCATGGGTGGGCTCGAGCATTTCATGCTAATCTTGAAGAAGCGTCGTGGCCAGTAGAAGAGTATCCGTCTTTGCGTGCTTTCTTCATACGGAAGCTTAAAGACGGTGCGAGGCCGCTTGAAATTAGTTCCACCAATCTCATAAGTCCTGTGGATGGAGTAGTTGTCGGCTATGGGCAAGTGAAGGGTCCTGGAACTATGATTGAGCAGGTGGTCACAAAGCTCCCCCCTCCCTCTTTTGCATGTTACACACCTAATAATATTGGGAATTCCGCAGCCAATTGCTTTCTTATATCAATTACATAATCTTCCTCATCATTGTGTACCGTTTCTTCCCCACTTTAAGATTTTTCATCCTCTTGTGCTCGTGTGGAGTGGTTGTTGAAATAGGTGAAGGGATTTTCGTACTCCTTGCCGGCATTGTTAGGAGCCCCGCTCCAGCTCTCAGGTACTTATACCTCTCAGCATCTTCATCAACTGTTAGATCCGTGAGAAGTAAAAAAAGTATTGAAGCAGAAAACACGTCATTTTGCAGATATGTGTGTGAATTCAAGTGTTTTCCTAATAGCGTGTTTCTTCAGGGGGGAAGGATGGGAAGTTGACTGAGGACAAACAGACTTTGACGACCTCACCTTCATCGACGGGTCTTCAAGTCTTGGATGTGGCAAGAAATATTCCAAAGTCGTTGGATAAACCTTCGAAGGGATTGTTCTACTGTGTACTTTATCTTGGACCAGGAGATTATCATCGCATTCACTCACCGAGTGATTGGAAGATTCGTTTGCGACGCCATTTTGCAGGAAAATTGTTCCCAGTCAATGATCGGGCCGTTCGGACTGTGAGAAATCTCTATGTTGTGAATGAAAGGGTTGTGCTGGAAGGCGAGTGGTCTCAAGGGCTTATGGCTATGGCTGCTGTTGGTGCCACAAATGTAGGATCAATAGAAATTTCGTTTGAGCCCGAGCTGAAGACAAACTTACCCTTGTTAGGTCAGCAGGCGCCCTCTGTTGTCACTGCACAGAAATATGGAGTCGATGGAGAAGGACTTGACGTTAAGGCTGGTGATGAGGTCGCAGTATTTAACTTGGGTTCTACAGTAGTGCTCGTCTTTGAGGCATCCGTTGGTGGAGAAGGTCTTAACGTTGGTTTGCAGCAAGGGCAGTTCAAGTTTTTACTGCGAAAAGGACAACGTGTGAAGATGGGACAAGCGATTGGGGATGTGATGCCCATTTCAGGGGATCATAATCACATGCCTTAAAAGGCTGCACCATTATTAGGATTTGTGCTATTGAAGCGTCCATTACTCAAACCTGGCAGTCGGCGGCTATTCTGCTCCACCATTCAAAATGCCTCTGGAAAGACTTCAACATGCACGACTTCCTACTAGTAAGTTTTGTGTGTGAGCATTAGGCGAGCGTGATCTTGTTCACTTTATCTCAGTTTTGTCTCTATTATTTTTTGCGTCTGACTAGGTGGTATTTTTACTGCATTGCAGCACCTAGAACCTGCTTTGCTTGCATTATTTGGAGCTCTCTGTCTGCCGTCAACATCAATCTCCTGTTGAAAGCAAATTGAGTATACCAGTAAATGAAAAGTGATATCATATCTACCTTCTTTCAACAAGGATGAGAGTTATTCTCGTGAGCATAGGCTTTGAGCAGGTTACAGCGGAGTCTAACCTCGAAGTCGTGAGCAATAAAATTTTGCGTTACTTCTGGGTATCAAGATGCGATCAGGTTTCTGTGTTCAGACTGCAATTGGGTTAAGTAATCGACTCTTTTTGTCTGGAAGAGATGGGCATTCCAGCGTCAAGTCCATTCTCAAAAGTTGGAATTGTTTATTTCAAATTTAGAATCCTAAATTTACTAATTCATATCGCATCTCGATGAAATATTTATTTAGGAGCTCCTCTGTGCTTTAAACTTGCATCAAGATCTTGATACATCGTGTAAATTTCATGGTTTAAATATGAGAGTTCTGTTTTAGCAGCTGCAAGTCTTGTAATAGTCAAGTATCACAAAATGAACGCGATTACCGGCTGTCATAATTATGATGTTAGTGTTTGCAGAAATGATATCTTCAGTTATTTTTGTTTCTTCAGTAAAACAAATACTTTTCTATGAGGTGGAGGTGGGATTCTGTCCCTACATCTGGCCAGAGGCGTGTCTCTGGGTGTGCCATCCAAAGTCGAAGACATTGTCAGGTGAGGAGGTTAGTTGGGGTGCCATATCTGTTGAAATATAACTGTGTGGAACGAAACTGATGAAATCAGCACTAGCACAGATGGTGAAAGCAGGGTTTACTGATTTGTCAGCTTTTTTTAGTTTGAAGCTAGAGGCGATAGAAAAGTTATCACAAATTTGCCATATCCGTGAAGTCGTGATTTTGTTTTTGATCTTTCGGAGTCGGCTTTCAATTTTGCACCCAATGATGTCATGATTCTGCAAGGGAGTGAGGGGTAAAGAATTTGTGGAAGTGGTCAGCTGCAATGGCAAAAATAAGCCACACGAAGATTGTTTTACTTTGGAAGAAAGTTTGTGAATTGTGAAGAACAATTAATGGGAAAAGTACTTTTTGAAAGAGGGCCAATTTCTAGATAGCTTGATCTAATATTCCCCTTTCTAAACTAGTTTGGTAATTGAGAGATTAGCGATTTGTGTGGGAGTGCAAAGCCTTGGGCAATGAGGGAGGAAATCAGAGTGGAAAGTGGAGATTGATGGATTAATTTAACATTTTCCAATTTTTTAATCAAATTCAATAAAATGAATTATATGAATGTTATTAAACTTTATCATATAGTGTGCAAGTGTGTTTTTCAACAACACTTAAGATACTAACTTAAATTTGTTCAAAATATTATGAGGATGTATTTTTGATGGATTCCTAAATTTTACAATATGTTTAATTTGACAAACAAGCTTTTGTCAAAGATTTCTGAAGTATTTGTTCTTCCTAATACATATTCATTTAAATAGTTAGTATAATAAAGTGTTTATGACAACCATAAAGTTTTAATAATCATTACCATATGGCTCTTGTGGTTTGTAAATGTCAATCTAAAGCATTCAATGGATGTGTACTAGGCATCTTAGTGGTCTTGCTTGTGTTTGTGCTTCTTTCTAATATGTTTTTTTAATAATTCATAGATTTATATATAATTAAATGTTTAAAGTTTTATTTTATTTTATTATTAATATATTTTAGTTAAAAATATAATTATTTACTTATTTTAGAAAATAGTAGTAATTATCTTCACTTTTAGATATAATTGGAATTTTATCTTGTTAAAAAAGTTATCTATATATTGAAGAATTATTTTGACTTATAAAAAAATATTTACATGTATCTCTTTAAAAGCATTTTAAGACTAAATATCACCATTGGTGCTAATTAAATTTAGAAAATTGATAATTCTTTCAAAAAATTTAATAATTTTCTCACATCATGTTGCATCCACCACACTTATATTGATGTTGTGATTTTGTAACCTATTGCATTTCAGTAGCAGCTTAATTTAAGTATTTTGGAATTATTCTTTTGTAATATTTTGAGACTCATATCCAATAAGTTGTAGAGAAGGCATATATATTGGATCTTATTGCAAAAAACAATCTCCATCATTTTGGATCCTATTACCAATAAAGACGAAGGGCCTATTACAACATTGATCAAAGTAAAATTGCCTTTAAACATGAGACAAAACCACAATGGCAATGTAGTGTATGCAATACAATGTTGGATGGAAATAATAAAACTCTTGGTGGAAATATCAATTTATTAAATTTCTTATAAGAAGATCTAAGTGCATTTGCAAGTTTGAAAAATTTGTATTTTTTTTGTTTTATTTTGTATTTTATTTTTTTTTGAAATTATGTTTTTAATTTTTTAAATTTTTTTAATGTTTTTAATTTTTAATTTTTAATTTTTTATATATTTTTTAAAAGTTTTTTTTACTATTATTTATTTATTTATTTTATTTTATTTGGAAAAATTCTTTCAAATGTATTATAAACATATTATAAAAGAAAATAAATATTGGATAAAATAATCTTATCACAAATAATTTTATAATATTTTAAATAATAAATAATACTTTAGAAGAAAGGAAGTGCATTGTAAGTTAAAAGAATGATTTGAGATTTGTAGAGCTATTGAATCCTTCTTGAGTCTATTAACTTGTTAAGTACTTAGCTAAGAGATTAAGTAGATTTGAAGTATAATTTTTAATAAAACTTTTTTATTCTATATCACTAATTAGATTTTGTTTTTATTTTATATATATATATATATATATATATATATATATATATATATATATATATAAGAGAAACAACAACAACATATGTAAGAAAAAAAATTATAATACTTATCAAGATATTCCATTAAAAATATCTTTATAAGATATGATAATACAATTAAAGCCATTAAAATAGAATTGATTGTTATAATATATATATATATATATATATATATACATATACATAATAGATTTCAGAACATCTTTTATATATTTATAATAGAAGAAAACTTATAATGGGAGATTTTGAGGTTCAATTCAATTTGCATAGGTACTTCAAAAAGGCTTTAAATAAGATATAGTGGCCATGGCTTTAAAAAAATACTTGAAATGAAGATATAGTGGCCATGGCTTCAAAAGAAGACAATTTGTATGTTAATAATTGCAAGAAGGTGAATAGAGAGTAATTAGAAATATTTGCTAATTTTTCATCAAATCAAGATAAATATTGTATTTTAAATTTTTATTTATTTATTTATTTATTTATTTTTAAATTTAAAAAAATATAAAAATTTAATTTATAAGAATATATCTAGGCCTAAGTTCATATACAATAAATTTGGATAATGCATTTAAGATAAAGGACAAAAGGCTTATTTCCAAGTAGTCAAAGAAAATATATTTTTAAAATGGGTAGAATTTTTTTTTTTTTTTTTTTTTTTTTTTTTTTTTTTTTTTATAGACCTATAAAGACTATATTTATGAAAAAATAAGCATTTTTCTAATTTTATTGATGCTTATTTAAAAACAATATATATTTATCTACTTAAAGCAAAGAATAAATGTTTTGCTAAGTTTTAAGATTTTAAGACTATTGTAGAGAGGCAATATAAATAATAGATCAAGTTCTTGAATAAAATTAAAAAAATTAAATATTTGTTTAAGAAATCTGATGTTTTCCTAATGATATTATAAGGAGAACCTCTACACTATATATTCCAAAATACAATGAAATTATAGATTTTTCTAATTGAATTATTTTGGAGATGGTAAAAAACACATATTATCCTCAACATTAGATCTATAAATTTTAGATAGATATAATAGTGAATATAATTGATGCCTATATTATGTAAATAAATAAAAATAATAAGATGTCGATAATAACATGTTTAGTAGATTAGATCATTCTTAAGAAACTTTAAAGGAAATTCTTAGATGTGCATTGGATCTTAAAATTCTAATAGATATGCCACATTTCTATTGAAACTTACTTTATAAGGTTCTTGCTTTGAAGAAGTTACATAAAGAACAACCTACAACTTGAAGCTTGATCTATAAGGATTGTGGTCCTTAAAAAGTCTTCTATAAGATCTTATTAGCTAATATATACAAAGATAAGATTTAGTCCATTCTCAATATTAACGATATCTTTATTATAATCTTGTCTTGATTCAAAATTTACTAAATTCTTAATATTTGGCAATAGCCATTCTAGTGCTTTTCTATTTAGAAGTGACATTTTTTGATATATGCTTTTAATAAGAAAGAATTCTTAATTTTTCAAGGTATTTATATTACATTTAGAAAAAATAATAAAAAAGTGATAGAAAGAAATTTTCAATCTTTACAAAAAAAAATATGCTTAGTTGTTATTTATGTTGTGGAATTCTAAGAACTTACTTAAAATGTAGATTTAATCAATAAGGTTCTTATTAACTAAACTTAATATAACTTCAAAGATAACATCATAGTTCTCGCATTGACAATTCTAATGTCAAATTTATTCAAAGAATTTATCAATGATGCAATTGCGTATAACAACTAGCTCTTTGAAAAAAATCAAAGATAAAAATTTAATTATAAAGAGACAAATTAAGTTATATTTAAATCTTTTTGAAGCTTGAAAATCTATCTATTGATATCATATTCTATTTGCATTGATACAACTCAATTGAAGTAGTTGACACGAAAGGAAAAAAATATGGACAATGTTGTAAAAACTTGTATTTGTAATACAAAAATTAGATCATAGAATACAAAAGTGTTACATCTTAGCCTAAAAGACAAATTCAAATACCAAAAATTTAGAAAATAAAGACATCTAATTGTAATAGGGATCTTAAGAATAGACAATTCTAGACTACTACTATCAAATATAAGTTTCATGCTACCATAAGATCTCGCACTTTTTAAAGTTTTCTATAACTATTAAAATTTTAAGTCATAAATTTTTAGCTTAGATTTTTTTAGACAAGCAAGCCTTAAAATGTTTAATAGATAAAATCTTTGTATTACAAAAGAAGTTATTATTTTCAAATAAAATTTGACTAATTTTAATGGATGTTATTAACAAGCAACCAATTATAAGTAGAAATGTTATTAACTAAAACCAAGCCATTAAAAGTGATGTAAAAACATTAACTATTATACATTGTTTTGAACATCATTCAATGTTCTTTAATCTAATGGTATTTAGATTATTTTTAAAATTAATTATATATTTTAAATTTTAATTAAAAATAAAAATATTAACTTAAAATTTAATTTAAAAATAAATAAATTATCTTAATACTTATTTTAGCCAAAATAATAAAGTGTCTTATATATTATTCATGCAATACTAAGTCAACATTTAAATAGAGATTTTTATTGAAATCTAAAAGCTATATAAAGAAATGTAAAGATATATTTGAGAAGAACAATACTAATGTATTGCCAAAACATCAACTTTATGATTGTATAATTGACCTTCAAGAAAGTGCTGAACCACCATTTGAATTAATTTATAATTTGTTGCAAAAAAACTTTGTTGACAAAAATCTTCCAAGAAAAATACCTTTTAATATTTAATTCCTTTATTTATAAATGTATCAATTTCTTTTATAAAGAATATATATATATATATATATATATATATATATATATATATATATATCCTTAAAAATATTTTTAAATTATTTTAAACTTATTAAATAAACCATAAACTGTTTTTATACTTAATTTTTAATGTTGATATTTTTTTAATAATTGATTGAAGCTAAAACATATATAAAGGCGGATCTATAAATAATTTATAATCTAATAGCTATAAAAGAAGAGAATATATGGAAAATTATTTTTCAAATGACATGGAAATTTTAAATATAAAAATACATCTTTTGAACTAACAAATGCTTTTAATTAATTTCATAATAAATACAAATTTTAAATTTATAAATACTATTATTTTTAATCACACGGATTTTTTATTCTCAAAGAAAAGAGGTAAATAAAATATGAGTTTTTTCTATGATACAAAAACATACAAAAATAAGATTATATTCCATGATGGAAAATATTTCTATGATTTTTTGGAATATATCATCTCAAATAATGGTTTACAAATGGATTTAAAGAAAATAAAAACTATTGAAAACTAAAACAGTAACTAAAATTCTATATTAATTATGAAAACTTTAAATATCTTTTCTTTTAAAAATTATCTTAAATTAAAATGACATATTATGGAATATATTTTTTTTATAATTTATATTTAATATAATATACCATCTTTAGAAAAAATAGAGCTTACAAAAGGCCTTTTTTTAAAATATTCTTATGTTGCGCCTATTGAAGATTATGCCATACATGATTAACAACAGAGTATTCTTTTAAATCTAAAGTATTTGAGTCTTTAAGCTATTATGACAAAAATTCTAATTAATATTATTTATTTTCAATAAAATTTGTTTGAATATGTTAGCCACTTTTATTTCAACAATAATCTTTTTATTTACAAAAAAAGTTTTTTTATATTTTTCAAATTCAAGTGCAATTATGTATATTTCAAATAAAATAGAAAATTTCAATAACATACTATTTTAGATATAACAGAACTTTGAACTATTTAAGGAATTTTTCAAAATATAATTGTTTCTCAAAGCATATGTTCAATCTTATGATACTTGTACTTCAAAAAAGTCTCTATTTTATTAATATTACGGAATTTTTAAAAAATTAAAACTTTTTAAAAATAATATTAATCTTTTTTTATTGGATTTTATTTAAAATATTTGAAATTTCTTAATTTTTACTCTCAAATGATGGATAATTAAAATAAGTAAATAAAATATTACAAAACTATTTCAAATTTACTATTAATTATTATAAAAATAATTGCACACTTTTTTTTTGTTGTTATGTAATAAAATATTTTAAAAATGTGTTATTATAAAATTAATAAAATATGTAATTCTATTAAAAAAACCCTATTTTATCTACTTATAATTATCATATATATATATATATTGTTAGTTTTAGATATTTAAAATTAAAAATTAAACAATAGAATATTTGGCAAGTAGTATAGTAAAGATTTTCATGAAAATGAAGACTTAACTAAAAAATACTCAAGAAAAATAAAATATAAATATGGATTTTTAAAAAAAAATCAGTTAGATCCAAACTTAATAAATATTTATAATTATTTTCTTGAAAGAAAATTAGATTTGAAATTAGTTCTTTTAGTTAATTATATTATGAAATATTTTATCTATTTATTATTCTAAAATAGATTAATCTAATAGCATAAGAATTATAATTACTAAAATCAATGATGATTCATTATATATTTCATGTATTTCTTATTGAGCTTTATATTAGAATTAATATATTAAAAAGAAAGTAATTACTACAACTTCTTGTTAAAATCAATAATAACTAAGAATTTCAAGTAGAAGAAATCTTGGATTGAAGAAGGTATTAAAACAAATAGGAATTTATAATGTACTATTTTAGATATGATATTAATAAATACATATGAATTCCATGTAAAAATTTACAAATATATTAGAATTTTGTTTGTTTGTTTTTTTTTTTTTGATTAATAATATCTATTAAAATTAAAAACCAATTATTAAAAATAAATAAATTATTATAATTTCTTTGCAATGTGGACAACCAAAAATTGGTAGATGCATCTATAAAGTTGTTATTTGTAGAAGTTTCAAATTAAGTACTTAAATTATTTCAACCTTCATGATAAAGGATTTAAAATAGAAATTTAGAAGATAGACATGCCTACTTTTGAAAATATAGCAAGATCCAACATATGTGGTAATATGATTATAGAAGAAGTTCTTAATACTTGGTGATATTATTTTAAGGATATGAATTTCAAAGAACCAAAAGTTCAATATACTCTTATGTCATTCAAAAAGAATAGATAATCATTCAAAAATGTTAAAATATTAAATAAGAATGAATATTTCTAAAGACAAAAAAATTAGAGTCTCTTGAAATAAGACTAAGAACAAGAAAGGTGTTGATAAGAGTGAAGGCTTCATCTTGCCTCCATATATACTATATAACTAGGAGTTATATGGCCACGTTCTATAGGATCTTTGACATGTGTCCAACTTGCAAGACATGTGTCTAATTTGCAAGACAAGTTTTTTATATTTGCCTCACATGGTTAGCTTGTACCACAAGCTACCAACACGTGGGACACTTGGCTAACTTGTTAGCCGAGTTTCTAACCTACTAATCAACTACAAACACGCATGAAGTCAAATTTGCATCTATAAAGCTTCTAAGAAACTTCACCACAAGATATTATCAAATCTACCTACATTTATTATCTACCTAACACTTTGTATTTAGATAATTATGTATGTTTGTGACATATTATAGAGATAGGCATAAAACCAAATAGCATATAGGATACATTTTTTTAAATATGTTTGTAAGAATCACAATTATAATCAAATAATTTGGTGATCTCTTGATTTAAATATATCTCAAAGATATGAATTTTTAAAAGAATATATATATATATATATATATATATATATATATATATTTGTAAGATAGAAAAATACTAGAATAGCTATTTTAAAATACAAAGAAGGAAGAGAGACTTAAATAAATACTAAAATATAAAAAAGGTGTTAATGGCCTTACTTTTGTTTCTAAATATATTTTAACTTTTTGTCTCTAAATATACAACTTATTGGTCAAGTTTGATTCTCTACTTAAAACTTGTTTAAAGTTGATGATGCTTTCAAAAAAAGAATATACAAATAGGAAGAAATATAAAAGTTATTTTAGAAGAAGCAATAGTAGGCTCATTTATATATACAATGGTAGACACAAGACTTAATATTCTATATGCAATAAATGTTGTGAATTAATATATATTTAAAATTAATTTTATGAGTAAACAAAGATTAAAAGAATTACAAGATACTTAAAAGGCATGTTAGACCATTAATTGTGTCTTGGTAATAGAAGCATTGAATTACAAGATTATCATATAATAATTTGGATTTGAAATTCTAATGTTAAAATATCTAATATATAAAAAATTCTATTATATTGTTTTTTATTCACTTGTTAATTGATTTGATTTAATAATTTTATATATTAATAATTTTAAATTATAGTAAAATTAATCGTAGTTTTTTTAATTCTTTAGTTTACATATTTTATGTATTAATTATCTTTTTATGAATAAACACGTAAATACATCAAAATATATCAAAATGTGTCTTTTATATTGTGATAATTATACATATATACATACATACAGATTTAAATAAAAGACCTTTACTTCTTGAAAGTAATACTATGTATTAAAGGTTTCAGATCACACTTATAATCAATATATATGTATTCATATGTAGTCTATTTTTTATGATTAAAATAGTAAAAAAAGAAATATTATATATGTAGATAAAAAGTTAAAATAAGAGTTCATTGATCTAATTTATCTTGGATCTATACTAGAACCACCAATTATTATATTTCATGAATGCGTACATTGCTACACACGCAAGAGTAGGTTGATCTTCTCATTCGAAATGTTTGACGACTTACGGCAAAGGTACAACAAGTGGTTCGTAGCAATGAGTTCCTTCTATACAGACTCTTCTAAATAACTTGCTACAACAACTAAACCGGTCAAGAACTGTACTTCGAAACTGGCTCGATACCATGGGTATGACGAACATTTTATTGAGTAATTAGTTCAGCTTTCTTTCGTATAAAACATGAATTGAGGGTTTAGGGTTTCAGGATTTAGTGCGTCACAGTTGAGGTCCAGTATCACTGGTATCTTCTACAGCAGATCCCTCGGACATAATTCTGTCTCATTCCGCCTGCAGATGATTATCTACTTAAAAGTTCCAGAAGACATAAGCTATAGAAGTACAATATAATTGCAACGTGTGCTTGTTCATATCATACCATCTTTCCTAACGCACGGTTATCGGGCAGGCGGACTTTGGAACATAATGTACAGCGAGAGAACGAAGGAGACCAGTGAAAGAACGTGAGGGAGCTGTACATGCGGAAAGCTCAGCGGAGTTCGATAACGGCGCGACCAGTTATTCTTCCTTGTTCTAGTTCGGCATAGACATTACTAGCCTGCTCCAGCTTGGCTTTCTGTGTCACAGCTGACTCAATTTTGAGGAAGCCCATCTCTGCGAGACCCACTATATTTGGAAGATCCTGCCTGGCTCTACCTCCATACGAACCAAAAACACGAATCTGGTGGATCAACAGAAGGTATGCGTCAAAAAAAATATGTTTCATAAAGCAAGAGGTATTACAAGTCTGGTGTCAACAAGGGTAGTTCCAAAGCAAACCACTAAGCTTCTCCAAATTCAAGTTATTGATAGTCAATTGCATGGAAGATCAAAGAGAATCGAATCCACTCTGAGAAAGATTATCACCTGTCTGCGAACAAGTCGAGTGATCTCGATATCAGCGGTGGCACCCCAGGGAGCAAGACCAATCATTACAGCTCGACCCCCATCCCTGACGGACATAATAGCCTGTTTAAAAGTAGCTGGCTTCCCCAAAGCCTCCACAGCTATGTCAACTCCTCGTCCACCTGTAATTTCCTAAAAGTTTCAAGCCAATCGAACTGGACATGTAAACATACAAACAAATGAATGTGAAACTAAAGAAAGCTTTTCTACCTAGTAATCAAAGCACACAATACAGCTTTTCATCTCATCAAAATATCCCGACATGTAAAACATAACTGAAACATGCTGTTCATTAAGTTCCAAGGGCTCACCATGCCCTAAGAGAACTCTGTTAACACAAAACCCATATCGCCAAGATAGGATAGGCTGTGAACAAGATTTCAAGATACTTAAAGAACAGCATTGCTCTAAAAGCCATAACGGCAATCATCAAAATTTGATATTACACCACGTGCTGTGCTTGTGAATATCCACTTAAGGCAAGAGGCTAGGGTATTGAGTTCAGGGAACGGGTGGTAGGCATACCCTGATTCTTTCTGGAACATCCTCTTTAGAGGCATTAATAGTGTGTGTTGCACCCATTTGCTTAGCCATCTCCAGCTTTCCATCACTTATATCAACACCAATGACTATTCGACCTCCAAAGGCACGTGAAACCTGTATACAGCTGAGCAAACATTCTTTACCATCGTCATTTCCTTTTCATTTCCTTCGATTGAAAGGTCTGTGAAGGATTTCTGATACAAAGTAACGAATCTCGTGAGACTACATAAGATTCCTTCTTCAAGGTGAATTTTATTGCGTATCCGTCCAACGGTTAATTAGAACTTGCAGCAAATAAGCATCCATGCTGCACTGGAGATAGTCTAATTAGACTAATACCTGGATCCCACTCCACCAGTCCCAATTACGGCTACTGTCTCTCCTGCACGCATGTCAGCTGCATTTTTCATGGCTCCATAGGCTGTGAATACAGCGCAACCAATGATGGCAGATTCAGAGTAAGGCAGGGATTCTGGAATTACGGCCAATCCGTTGGCAGGAACTACACAGTACTCAGCCAGACCACCCATGCTGTACATGTATACAGGATCCCCTGCACAAAAGTCACCGACTGTTATCCACTTTCACTTGTCTCTGGGACACTTCACTCGGAGAGCAAACAGAATTCACCTAATGATTCACGGTCGCTGAGTAAAAGAACGCGAAGTGCATAATGTGTTCCATACAACTCTAAACAATCAAAGTAGTTCTAGCTGGATAAATATGTAAAAGGTGAGTATACCACTACTAGACATGTATAATCGTGTTGTGCCATCGTAAAGACCTCCTAAACCTCGATTGTACTTTAAGAAACTCTCACACAAATCCTCTTGACCCTGTACACAACAGTTTGACACGAATGAATATTATTAGCTGCACAGAGCATTTTCAACACAAGAGCAATCCACTTGGTGATCCAAAATGTCTGTCAACTAAAAAAAACTTTGGAGGCAATATGACTACAAATAAATGTAAGACATCAGCACAGGTCCTGAAGTAGTATGGGCAAAACAAAAATAAGCTCTGAATTTTGGCAACACATATGTACAGGAGCCACTTACAGAAGTAGAGAAGGTAAGGGAGGTGATGTTACCTTCACACAAAAGAAACAGCCACCACAGGGCATGATGAATGCACCCACAACTCGCGACCCCACAGGCAATCTGTATCACTCAAGTACATTAACGACTTCATACATCACTCTTCACAGCTTGAGTTTTGACAGGAAACTCCCGCTCGTGTATAATCTGAGGGTGTAGAACCAACAAAACAAGAACTATGTCTGCCATAAATTTTGACAAGTACTCTTATTCCGGAGTAAGTCAACAAAAGGTAACATGTAGATAGTTCCGGACGAACTTGCTAGGCCAATGTACATGAATCATACCTCTCGATGGTCGCTGAATCGGTATGCTTCCCATGTTCGACAACCTCTCCTGAAACTTCATGACCAAGGACGCATGGAATCGGGAACGGAATGTCATTGTTCATGACATGCAAATCTGAGTGACAGACTCCACAAGCTATACAATGCAAGAATGTAAGTTAGTACAAATCAAAGAATGCATTCTTGTTTCACGCACGTTGAACCTGCTAACCCAGAAGATCTTCTGTTCTGTCAAGAATTTACCTCTAGCGAATAGAAGAGCAGTGAATACCTTTGGTTCTAATCAAGACCTCGCCAACTTGAGGGCGAGGCAATTTGAGCTCCTCGATCGTCATAGCCTTCCTAGGCTCCCAAAGTACTGCTGCTTTCATAGTCTCTGGTAAGGTTCCAAGTAAATAATCACTCTCTTTTTTAGGTTGAGTGTCTGAGGCTGTGTTGTGGAGAGCTGCACAATGCATTGGTCGCAATGTAGCACCTACGGCTCTCCCTGCAAGAAAGGAAAGCCGAGAAGCGGAGTTGCGCATCGCCATACCCCTAGCTTTCTCTTCACGACTGCGAACGAACAACAATAAAAACAAGGCAACAAAGTGAGGAGCACGATGGTCCGCAATTACGATACTTAAAGAGAACGGTAAGAATCATTGGCTGAGAGTACATGATGAGGTCCACCCACCTACAAGGCTGATAGGACTATGAGGAAGAAGCTCACGCAACAGCAACAGCAAGAAAAGAAGAAATCGTGCAGGAATTCCACAACAATAAAACGAGAGTTAAGTGCTCTAGGAAAGGCTAGAAATCATGGCTAATGAGACAGAGCAGCAGAAGGGATAAGGGATCCAAGAGAAAAATCGCATCAACAGAGAGGATAGAAGCGAAAGGGATCGGACCTGATGGGGGGAGGGGGGGGATCAATAGGGCGCGGGGGCAGAAGTAGAGGAGAGTTGGCAATCAGAGGGCGCAATTGAGATCACGGTGCGGAGGGGAACTGGGAGTGCAGTGCTGCGGTGGCATGACACACGCACTCGCGCACACACACGGAGAGAGAGAAAGAGAAAGAGAGACTCTGAGCAGGATAGTGATGATGCCAGAGAACCTCGACCCCCGAGGGGACCTGCACTGGGCCTGCCTCCCTCCCTGCCTCGCGATGGGGCTGCTTGCGTGGCATAGTTGCCCTCCCCCCCCCCCCACCTTTGCTGGCATGGCGCCGCGCTGGGGCGGCGTCACCTTCCGCCTCCGTTCACATTCCCTCTTCCTCCCTCTCTTTCTCTATCCCTCTCCGTCCTTATCGTGCTCTCAATTGATTACGCACTTCCGTCCGTCACCAGTGGGCTGCTCCTTGGACGGAAACTCTGCGACACAACCTAAAGTAATTCTTGAAAACCAAAAAGATCTTATTAGAGTAAACATTTTAAGAGGGTATCTAAGAATAAATAGATTCTTTTGATTTAAACTTAAACTTTTTACTACATTTTTTGAGTTTTAATTTTAATAGAAATAAAAGAAATCATATTTAGTAAATATCAATGTTTAGTAAAAATCAATGTTTAATCTTCTAATCTTCAAGATCTAGTCTTTACAATAAAAATAAGATTATTATTTATTGTTAGGTAAATACTTAACCATTTGATTGTTTGTTTGTTTGTTTGTTTGTATTTTTTTTGTTTTTATATGTACAATGACCTTATCAACTATTTGATGGTAGTATTGAATTAAGTTAAATTAAACGTAGGAATAAAGTTGTCATGACTTCTTTTTATCTTCTTTCTTAATATTCTTCATGACATACTGGCTTGAATTCCTTCAAATATTTTTGATATAATATTTTTTTTATATGTAATTTTTTTTTTGTTTCTTTATTTTTTCAAAAAATTATGTATTAATATGAAAATCTCAATTGGTTGATGTTCTATTTGTATATAAAATAAAATAATTTTATACTACTAATTGTGGCGTTTTCAATACATGTCTTGGTTGAAATGTACATTTAATATTTGTAAAAGATCAATCTCTATAATTTCTAATAATTTTATAATTATTTTTTTACTTTAAAAAAATGAAATGTGTTAAATTTATATGTTGAAAAAAAATAATCATAAAATTAAAAGGTAATGAATTTAATAATATTTTTTACTTAAAATTTTAAAACTTATCACATATAAAAAAATAATTTTATTTTTTATATTTAATAAGATTAATATATATATATATATATATAGAGAGAGAGAGAGAGAGAGAGAGAAAGAGAGAGAGAGAGAGCTACTTTATTCTAATAAACTAATATATTATTTTTATACTTTTAGTTCATACTTTATGGCAATTTTACTATATTTGAAAATTACTTAAATTTATTTAAAAGATTAATTAATTCTTCTTAGATGATATTAATTAAAATTTATTAAATATAAATATAAAATTTAACAATTTTTTTTTTATAATTTATGACTCATTATAATGCCAAGTGTATATTAAATAATATATTAAAATATAAGTATATAAATATACATATGTTTATTTATTACTAATATATTATCATTTACATATATATATAATTTAATTTATTATAATATATTATAATTATTTTTAATTATTTTTAAAATTATTTTTGTAAATCATATAGTTTATACATTACAATTGTTTTCAAATAATATGAAAAGAGTAATTGTTTTAATATGAGGATTAAAAAAAGTTGAAAATTTTAAACAACCATTTATATATATATATATATGATTTTTTATTGTACTAAAATAAACTTTGTTAAGTCCAATGATTATAAAAATATTTAATAAAAATACAAATTCATGCAAGGTACCAAGATACATATATGTAAGAGTATGTAAAGTAAGATGATACTCACATCTAATACTTTAAATTTATTGATAGTAGATATGTTTTGAATATTTTGGTAATTGGTTGATATATTTTAAAAGACACGAATTTAAATAAAATATCAAAGACAATACATTCATGTATCACCAAAGAAGGGAAAATATATATATATATATATATATATATTCTTTCGTAGGAATTACATGGCTTGTAGCCAGAGTGTAGTTGTATTATATGGTGTCTTGCTTAAGAATGCACCAAGCACTTGGCTGTGAAAGGTAACTTGGAATTGCAATAACAAAGGTTCTAATAAGTCTAATAGAATCCTAAATAAATCCCAATTAAACTTTAGATATCTTAATCAAACCTTAATCAATTCTTCAAAAATCTTTAAAAAATTATATAGATTTGTTTTAAAAAATCATAAAAAAACCACAAATCAAACTAAAAGAAATACCAAAATAAAAAACTAAAGAAATAACAAAGAAATATTTGGAATAATTATTAATTTTTTTAGTATTTTAATAAATATTAATTTTAATTTTAATTGAAACTAAAATATTTCTTACATTTTAATCTTTCAGAAAAAATAATCACACAAAATTTGAAAATTATAGAAATTACTAATAAAAAAAAAAAAAAAAAAACTTCTGATAATCTTAGGTGTTTTTTGTCATCTTTTTCTAACCTAAATGTTGATCTTCTAGCAGCAATTATTCTTTATAAAGCCATTCAATTGCTTTCTAAATTGACAAAAGTCTAGAAACTCAAGCCTATTATGCCTTAACAATATTTTGCTTCAATTGAACTATCAAAGTTTTTAAAATCATACTTTATTTTATAGATCCTTAAATTCAAATATTTGAGACTCTAATCTAGTCAAACTTTCCTATCCTTCAATCTAAATATTTAATTAACTTGAGATTTTTTGAATATTTAAAAAAAAAACATATTCACAATCTCATAAAATTTTATCTATATATTTTCTACAATATTTACAAATTTCTCATATATGTAGGTCGTTATTTATTTTTCAAAATTTTAAATCATTAAAAATATCTTTCATTTTGAAAAGTTTTCAAAAATAAAATATTTATTCAAATCACTTGAAAATAATGCTAAAATAATCTTTTAAAATTTTTCTTTCTTATTTTGTTCTTTGATCATCAAAAAAAACTCCATAGTTACTTTAGATGTGTGATTTTGTGCCTCAAGGTTTGATTTCAATCTTGATTCACAATAAGTTCTCTTTAAGTATCAATTTCTAGGTTTTAAAAATAATCTTTGCTAAAAATTACTCTATATTCTTTCTTTTAGATATTCATATCATTTATTTTTTTAATCTCCTTTATTTTGCCTTATTTATAGTTTTATAATGTAAATAAAAGGTTATTTTAAAAAAATAAATATTAGCTCTTATTAATTAATCTATTTCATTGACTATTATCTATATTTCTAAGATAATATTTTATGATATTTTTAATTAAATTCTCTTATTATATAATTATTATTTTTTTAATCTAATAGCTATGTTATAATACAATAATATGAAGCTATAGGTTGTTTTTACTACAACTTCTTAAAAATAATAAACTTATAGAATAAGTTTCAATAGCCACTTGATAAATCTATAATAATTCAAGTATCTAATCTACTTCCAAAAAAAATTATTTAAAGCTTTTTAAAAAAGATAATATCTTTTATATATATTTATGCCTATTTCTATTTACTTCTATTTATATAATTAATATAGAGATTTTTTATACATATGATATTTTTTTATTAACTATTAGTTTTTTTTAGATTAAAATTAGGACTATTCGAAAGCTACCAACTTTATTAAGTATAATATCTTTTTATCATTTTTTCAATCTAAAAATTAATAATCTTATTTATCTTGCAATTCTTTCTATTATATAATCCAAGTTGTTGCAATAGTACTAGTTTTTATCTTTGAATGAAGCATTCACTACCAATAAATATCCAAAATAAAAGATATATGATATTTAATGTTCATTGTTTATTATCATTCATTCCTATTTACTTTAATACTCCTACAAGACAATGGTTGACTTACTTATATATGCAATAGTGGCTACAAGTATTAATCCTACATGTGTAGTGAATGTTGTGAGTCAATACATATTGACTCACAACATTCACTACACATATAGTCAAAGCGAATCTTACAAATTGGATGGTTGTGAAGAGAATCATGAGTTATTTGAAAGACACTTTAGACCTCAAATTGTGTTTTGGTGGTAAACTGAATGATTTTTTGGATTATTGTAATAAAAATTAGATTAGAATTAAAATTTATAAAAATTCTAATAAAAGATATATATTTTTATTAGAAAAAATCTTATTTAATAGAATCACAATAGATAGTTTAAATTTAAAAATTTTAATTATTAATTTAAAATACAGAATAATTATTGTACAATAGAATTGGTTAAAAATAGATATTATAATTGCCTGAATAGAGGCAATTTAAATCATGGTTTGGTCAATTACAATAACTTTATAATATATTACTTCCAAAATTACTATAATTTTATCTTTAATTTGTCTAAAATCTTCTTTTGATGGCTTTAAAATCTTCAAGTTGGTCTTAAGTGAGGTACTAGTGGATATGCATTCTTTTACATTGAAGTGTTTTAATATCTCTTTAATGTACTTACTATGGCTTATTATAACAATATATTTTATATTATTCATTATAAATACAACTCTAAGATAATGTTGCAACTCATTCAAAGCATTTATCTCATATTTATTTTCTAATTTTTCTTTCATCTATTTCTTAAATATCCTTGATAGTACCTTTGTTGGTTTTTTAAAAACATGAAGCATGCTTAATACTTGCATTAGTTTCTTCGTCTTATTTCTTTATTCCAAAAATATTTATTTTTATATAAAAAAATAATATTAGAAGATGTATCTAAATTAAAACTATTATTATTACTTGAATATATTTTTGAATATTTATAAGTAGTCTTCTATTCTAAAAACTTAAAAATCACAAAACTTAATGATTATTTTAGCTTACAAATAC